TATTATTTTTTGTCAAATAAATATTTTATTGTGATTGAGCCGGAAATAATCAAAGGTAACAAAATAATTATATTAATTATGTTGTCGGATTGATGGCTTTAATTATCCGATAAATAATTAAGGGGTCAAAGTGCAACATTGACTTAGAGGTTATTTACTATTTAATTGGAGTACAATTAATTTCTTTTAGTGGAGTAGAAATTAATTTATGAATTAATTGAATTGGGTCCATGGTCTAATGGACCGGACCAATTATTAATTTATAAGAGCCAAGAAAATAGTAAGCCCAAAAGGATTCTCACCAATAGCCCAAGTTGATATTGGAGTCATGTTAGGATTGAGAAAGTTGAATTAGAGATGGAGAATGATTTATTGTTTCCTTATTCTTATTTTTGTTTTGCCTATATATACATGAGTTCATGTATATTTTAGGGGTGACTTGGAGAACAAGAAAAAGGAATACACTTTATCTCTCTAGATTTTAGGGTTTTGTTTCTCTTCTAAAGGAGGCTACCACCAACCTAGATTCCAAGGTCATTCATCAAGGCATATTGGTGATTCCTAAAGGGAAGATAATAATCAAAAAGAAGGAGAAATGATCTTGCTAAAGGGATCTACAATAAGTGAGAACATTCACTTTAGAGGAAAGTTCAAAAGGTTTACTCAGCCCTTTGATGTAAGTATTCAATCTGTTTATTGAATTATGCATCATCTTTTATTTATCTTTGTATAAAACTTGTCTCCATGTAATGAATCAAGATCTATGATTGCAAATCCCTCAAAAAGTTTTAAAAACTTGCACGTTTCCCAACACCAATGTCAATTTCACACACTATGAACGCAACTGAAGATAGAGAGAGAGTAGAGAAAGTGTGAAATGTTATATTTGGTGGATTTCCATTTATCTATTCTGAGAGTGTCTTTGTTTTGTGCTTTAATTAAAACAAGTTAGTGCTACGTCTTTAATTGATGGGATTGGGGTTATGTAACTGTCAAAATTTTGTAGACCAATTAGAAAGAAGGGGGTGACTTTACTTATGTCCACCACATTTTCAATGCCTAAAACAAAAGTAGAGATGAATGTCATGACTTTGCCTTGATCTTTGAAATTCTCTTTACTTTTGTGCAGGTTAAATGACCAATTAACAAGTTTTTATTATATACAGTATATTACAACAATTGTAACCCACTTTATTTTTATTCTCTCTCTTCTATCCCAAAAGGTTAGTATTATGATTTAATTTCTTTCCTATCTTTGATTACTTCAAAGGGCAGAAACTATTCTCTCTTTTCCCTTTTATATATGTATATATATATATATATATATATGTATATGTATATATCTTTTTCTCATAACTAACACTAGGTCTGCCTCCAACTTTAGAATAAAAAATAAAAAAATTAAAGAATAAGAAGTACCCCCAAAAAGTCATGGATTACATACATGAACTACGAGACAAGCATATATATGCAAGTGTAGTCATTATTTAGACCACCAAAATAAGCTTAGATCTTTTTTAGTTTATCAAAATTAAAATCAGAACAAGTACACATGTATATAATCAATATATGTAATGTTCTACACCTAAAGAACTCAGAATTAATTTCTCTCTTCCTGATGCGAGTCATTTTAAGAATCTCACTCAACATGCATAATTTATCTCTGATAATAAGGTGCTTTAATTAAGTGCTTTTAATTTTTAATATGCCAAATATTTTCTGTAAGAGGAAAATTGTATAGTTCATTATGGCTATGAATCATTTATCATTTTAGCTTTAGATACACTTCAGCATAAACTGATATAATATTGGAATGTTATTGTGCTATTGGATGCCATATATATATATATATTTGTGTCTATTCTTCTATGAATGGATGGCTGTTATATATAATATATGCATGTTGAGATGGAAATTAAAAACATGAACTGTGATGTGAATTATGCTTCAAAATTAAGATATGATGTTGAAATTTTACCAAACTCTTTTCATTACATATATGTTTTTGAAAGTTTCGAATTTTGAGATGAGTTTGTGAATTTGATTAACGAGACCACACTTGTGTACTGCTAGAATGATGAAACATGAGTTTGTGAATTTGATTAATGAGACCACAGTTGTTAATGACCCTTTTAACCCATTTTTATTAAAACTATGTAATTAGATGGATATCAATGGTGACAATGTGGTGGGAGAAGAAATAGAGGACCTTACAGACAATACCGATGATGCAAAACTAGTATGTGATGATTCTCAGCTCGAAACTTTCATCATCTATATGGAGGAAGAAGTGAGGGTTAGTAATCGGACTACCGGAACTTTTAGTACAATTGGTTGAAAGAATACAGTAGAGGCATAAGGGTCCGCACAGGGAAGAAGTATGCACTGAAACAACTTAGGAGCAAATTTAACCACGTGAGGGTAGAGTACAAAGACTTTATGAGTTTGTTAGCAGAAGCAGTCGTGAGATACAACGCTAAGATGGGCATGGTTATAGTTGAAAATGAAAGATGGGCTGGGTTGATGAAGGTTGGTTATTCAAATAAATATATGTTGATTTTACAAATGTAGACTTAACTTAATATTAATAGTACTTTAATAATTTGTAGGTGAATAGAAATGCTGGTAAGTTTCGAAAGAAGGGATGCAAGCATTTTGACAAGCTCACCACTATATTTGGAGGCACACACGCTACAGGTGCACATGTATATACTTCGACTAATCCAACCATTATCAACCAAGCCCCCTCACACCATGCAGCCATACATAGCTCATTTGAAATTGATGATTTAGCTGAGTTAGACGGTCATGAGATCAGCTCCTCTCCTGAACCTCGTGGTAAGAAACCAAAGAGAGTTTTGCCTCCACAATGAGCGATGTCATGGATAAAATGAAAGACAATGCTAACATGAAATGTGATCGAATTAAAAAGGCCATAAAAGAAGTTTCATCATCTAATATAAAAACATTCCATGACGAATGTCAGGTTGAAGTAAATTCTTTGGACAAGACAAAAGGTGATTTTAAGTTATGTTGTAGTATTTTGAATCAGTTGGAGGGTGCATGTTAATATGAAACAATATGCTAAGGTCACTCAGATGTTACGTAGTGATGAAATTTGGAGGGATTTATTTCTAAATGACCTTCTTGATGATAAGAGGGTTGGTTGGATCATAAATCTTTGATTTGGTGTGTTGCTTTTATTATGACTTTGGAAGATTGTACTATTAACTATATTTTATTTGGTGTGTTGCTTTTATTTCTTACTTGGTTTTGCTATGACTTTGGATGATTGTAATATTAAGTATACTAGTATTTGGCTTGGGATGATTGTAATGATAATTTCAGTATTTGGCTTGGGATGATTTTACTTGTTGTTTCGCTTTTATTTCTTATTTAGTATTTGGCTTTGGATGATTGTAATTTATGTCGTTTCTTACATTTTGTATTATACAGATGGATATTAGGACAATTATTGAGTTGTATGTTAATGATGACGACGCGAATGAATGTGTCATCATAATGACATGTATGTTGGATTACTATATGAAACATTACCATAAACAACCTTATAGGGATTCAATATTAAGAGGGGAAGCATATATATTGGAGATCTTGAACGGGCATGGAAATAGATGTTTTGAAAACTTTAGGATGTCCACCCCTGTTTTTTTTTAAGTTGTGTGGGGAGCTTAGGTCATTAGGATTGAAAGACTCTAAGGGTGTAAGTGTTATTGAACAAGTTGGCATATTCTTGCTTACTTTAGCTTACAATGAAAGGAATCGTGTGGTAGCAGAAAGATTTCAACACTCTACCTATATAATTTCAAAACACTTCCATTTGGTTTTACAAAAAGTGTGTGATTTAGGGAAAAAAAATTATTGTCCCCCCAGATTTAACTCGAGTTCTTAACCATATAAGAAAGTCAAAAAAGTTCTACCCTTTATTTTAGGAATTGAGGGGCAATTGATGGAACTCATATCCATGCGAATGTGCCTGTGGACCAGCAAATACCATTTCGTGGTAGGAAGGGTGATACCACACAAAATGTAATGGCTATTTGTGATTTTGATATGATTTTCACGTACGTTGTAGCATGATGGGAGGGGTCTACTAATGATTCTAAGATATTGAACAAGACCATTAATAATAAGGATATGTATTTCCCACAGCCTTTAGACGGTAAATGTCACACTACCTACAATTTTTTAATTTATTTTAAATATAATAGTACAATTATTTATAGTTTGTAAAATGGCAGAAAAATATTATTTGGTGGACTCTGGGTATACCAATTAACTGGGCTTCTTGGCTCCCTATAGGGGTCAACGGTACCACTTCCAACAATACCGTAGGGTTTCTAGGCAACCCCGAGGTAGAGAAGAAACATACAATCACAGGCACTCGTCTTTGCAAAATATCATTGAGCATTGTTTTGGGATGCTTAAGATGAGATTCCCCATCTTGAAGTAAATGCCCCCATATAAGTTTGAAACTCAGGTTGCTATTGTTTTAGCCTGCTGCACATTTCACAACTTTATAAGAAAGGAGGTGCAAGTAGATGCAATATTTGATGATGAAACTGTAGAGGCGCTGATAGATGAAATATTTGAAGATGGAAATGATGATGTTCAGGTTAATGTGCCGCAGTCTTGGTCGCGACCAATGGATATTTTATGTGATCATATTGCTAATACTATATGGAATACAATTTAACACCCTTGAAATTGCATTTAGATGTTTATCATGTTTGGATAACTATAATAACTACTTTAATTTAACTCTTTGTTAGGATTTGGATAACTGTAATAACTACTTTATTTTAACTCTCTTTTACAATTTCGATAAATATAATAACTTGTGTCAAATATATTTTAACTCTTTTTTAGGATTTGGATAACTGTAATAACTACTTTATTTTAACTCTCTTTTACGATTTGGATAAATGTAATAACTTATGCGAAGTATACATTACACATTTTACTACTTGTTTATGCAGTATGTATGAGATACAGGGTAACGAGCCACCTTGTGCATGTGGAAGGGGTCGAATGAATCTTTATACGGCTGGAACTTCAAAGAATTATGGACGTTCATTCTATAGATGTCTAGCTTAGGGGGTATACAATCCTTTGCATTAATAATTTTTTATGCGTACATGTTATTGTTACAAGGCCATTATAATAATATGCAAGTCTTTGATGTTTTAGTCACATGCTCGTTCATTTATATGGTTGGATGACATGTACCAACGTCTGCAAGTGGGTGGTCATGTGGAGCAAGAGTTGGAGGATGTAGTTGCTGTTATATAAGCTCAACAAAATAGGCAAAACTACATTATCTATAGTGGTTGTTATTGTCTTACTATAACTATATTATTTATGTTATTGTTCATGTTGTTGTTGTTGGTTATTGTGATTGTTGATAAATGATATAATATATTAGTTCAATTTTACTTCATGAACTTTTATTGTGCCTATTGACAAGTGGGTAATATTTATGAAACTCATGTCTGTAATAACTTCAAACTCATGTAATGTGTAATATGTTGAAAGTTTATTTCAGTTCAATATTGAAACATTGTCTTCTACAATTGTCAAAACAATATGAAGCATTCATAGGTTTTACAATTTATAATATATTTTATTGGTTTTTATATATTAGTTAAAAAACATTGTAAACTAAAACCTAATAAACTAAAATAAACTAAAAAAAAAATATTAAAGTTATATCAATTGTATAATAAAATTGTACAATAATAAAATTTTACTTTATATATATATATATATATATATATATATATATATATCTATTTTTTTTTTCCTAGTTGGTACCTACACACACTTATCTCTTTTGAGACTTGAACCCCTGACCTTCCTTTGGAAAGTAAGAGACTGAAACCGCTAGGTCACTTGGCCCATTGGTAATTTTACTTTATATTTAATAAAAGTTATAAATAATATATTGATGAAAACATTATTTAAAAACACTCTTTACCAAATATATTTTATGTTTTTGTTTCAGTGATTTTGGTTACACTTTCATTCTACCAAACATGTTTTGTTCTCATATTTCTTGAAACGAAATATCTTGGCAAACATGTTCTACCATGTTTGTGTTCCAAAATTCTCACTGCAAATTTTCGTTGCCAAACATGTTTTGTTCTCATTTCAGAACACTCCATTACAAAACACTTGTTCTGTTCTAAGCTAAAACAAAACGCCCGGAAACACAACGCATACGAAACAGGCCTTTAGCAATTAACTCCATCAACTATCATGAGGGGATCATTTTAACTAACCTCTGTCAGAGTGATTGTGTGAGGAAAACTTTCGGACGAAATTTCCCTTAGAATCAAAACAATATATGTATATATTTTTTTAACTGCATAAAACACTAAAACGAGGCCTCTGATTTTGAAACGAGGCCTTTAATTTTTTCTTTCGAAACATTCTTGCATTTGGAATATATATGGTAGTTATTTATCAAATGTCAACTTAAATTGATTTTGGTGAAAAAAAAAAAATCGTACCATGATTTTTTATAAAATAAGATAAAGTAAGAGATATATATACCATAGATCCAAAAATACCAGTACCATGATTTTTTATAAAATTTAAAAGTAGAAATTTATAAGATTCTAAAAAATTATGGATATAGCATACCAAAAAAAAAAAATTCATTGGAGGCGTCCACCATAATATCAAAACAAAACCCTCGTCCCCTACCCCCAAAACATATTTCACACTTGTTTTTTTATTTTTTATTTTTTTATAGTCAAAAGATATTTCCCTTAAATAATAAATATTTGTTTGGACTATCTTTAATTATTTATTTATTCTTTAGAAAAAAGCGTTTATTATGACATAAAATTTGATTTATTTCAACATCATAAATCTTAATCCCAATACTTTTCTATTAAATTGTGATATGCTACACACAGACACACAGACACACACACATATATATAAATGAAAAAAGCAACTTCCTCATATATATATATATATATATATATATATATATATATATATATATATATATATAAATGAAAAAAGCCCTTCCTCCTAATTATGAGATGATTTTGCCACATAGTTTGATAAATTTCTATTTTTAAATTTTATAAAAAATCATGGTACTGATATTTTTGGATCTCTCATATATATATATCTCTTTCTTTAACTTATTTTATAAAAATCATGGTATAAGGTTTTTTTTTTTTTTTTTTTCCCCCACCAAAATTAATTTAAGTTGACATTTGATAAATAACTACCATATTACTATATATATTCCAAATGCAAGAACATTTCGAAAGAAAAAATCAAAGGCCTCGTTTCAAAATCAGAGGCCTCATTTTAGTGTTTTATGCGTTTAAAAAAAAAAAAAAATGTGGTGAGTACTTTAATAATAGTAATGTATTGTTTTGATTTTAAGGGTAATTTTGTTCGAAATTTTATCACACAATCAGTCAAATGGATGTTTCATGCTAAGGGTAATTTTGTCAGAAAATTTTCTTCACACAATCACTCTAACAGAGGTTAGTTAAAATGACCCCTCATGATAGTTGAGGGGGGTTTATTGCTAAAGATATTCATAAAAGGGTGTTTTTTGCAAACGGGTGAAAGTCGAGGGGTTTTCTTTTTGCAATTCGCCCTATATAAAATATTGACAATCTTTGAATATGACCAATTAAGCAGACAATTATTTATATAAATATAGATGTTAAATAGTTCATAGTCGGTGATAAATGATAGACCCTTTATCAATTAAGAGATTAACTAGGTAAGGTAAACAAATTGTGAGAGCCATAGTAATAATTGCTCCTTATTATCATGAGGGCGAATAACTCTCAAGCATTAGAGATGTATAAACTATAGTATTAATTAATAATGACTTTGATTTATTCGGTTTAGGATAAGGTAAGCAACTTGTGAGAGTCGTAATAATAATTGCTCATTATTACATGTTATGACGACTGACTCTCGAATATATATATATATATTTCTTAGACCACTTGTATCGGTTTCACAACACATGCACCATTCAAGTCAAGAGTGTGATTCGAAAGCGAAACCTTAGGGACTTACTTCTCGGATTCATGCCAACGCCGCTATGCCCCCGAGGGAGATTGACTCTCAAATATGAGAGTTATAAACTATTGTATTAACTAACAATAACTTTGATTTATTCGATGGCCCAAGGTTCTAATTATTGATTGAAAGTTTAGTATATACTCTCAATTGTTGCATAAGTTCTATTGTATTTATTTGACTTGATTAAGTTGAGCATGAAAAATTCAGGGGCCTTTGTATATTTTTGATAAATTTGTTTAAATATAGAGAGCTGATATTCGCACTTCACAAATGTACTTAGGTGCTCCAATTTCTTACTTTTAAAAATTAAATTACAAAAAGTCCCTCAACCACACAAAACAATTTTAATTTCATATTTACCCTTTTCTATGTTGACTAGGATTCCTTTCTTCTTCTCTCACGTTCCCTCCTCTTCCCTCTTTACCAATAACACAACATCACTGTAACACATCTCCTTATATATATATATATATATGAAATATGTAACTGTCCCTCTCTCTTTCTCTCTCTCAAATTCAAAATTTTTTGTGGAGTCTTCGTGTTGAATGTCAGATTATTTTGTGGGTTTAGGGTTAGTTGTCCTAACATAGATCAATTAGATAGCTTTAAAATATGTTTAACTTCCTATGTCAAAAATTTCTCATAGTAGTTCTTACCAAATATTTTTTACCTTATTTCATTTCTCTTTCTATATAAGACCAGTAGATAGTGGTATTCATCTAATTCACAAAAGGAAAGAACAAAAGTAATAAGGGAAGTCAATTATTATACTAATTTTTGGAGAAGTTGAACAAATGTAATTTTACTAAGTTTTAACAATTTGTGTTCCCAATTATATCAATTTGTGTTCCCATTTGTGTGTTTATTATGCATCTAATGAATTTAATATTGGATACTGAATCTTTAAAGTTTTTTTATGACACAGTTCAAGTTAGGAATGAATTTTGGGGTTTTCATTTGCAAACAACATATGAACACATAAGCACAAATGGTTTGATTGCAATCTGAGTTTGACTTGTGAGAATTGCTTTGCTCCATCGAGTTCACCTCACAACCAACGACAGAATTCAGTCGGCAGTCTCTCATAGTATACTTTCTATCACATACTCTCTCTATGAATTTTCTATCAAGGGTTTCATTCTCTGTGTTTCTATCTTCTATATCTATTTAGATTTTTATTACTCCCTTTCTATGAGTCATGGAAGGTGAGAACTTGAGAGAGAGATTATGCGAATAGTAAAGGGCAATTATGAGAGTAAAAATTATAGAAATGAAACATTGTTTGGTCTAAGGATTTTTTTTTTTTGTAACTCCATTTCAAGAGAGAAGGAGAGTGGAGTGCTTAAGGATATTGGTGGAGCACCAATATAAGCTCCCTATATATATATATATATATATATAGGGTTAATTACAGTGAAGCGGTGTGTTTTTTCCTATTGATAGCTAGATGAAACTTGGACCTTTTTTGGACAATGACATGCCCCTCAGGTTGCTAAAGTTGACAATGACTGTAACGACTCGGGTTTTTATTCACCTGGTGGATCAGTGATGAACCGAAGATTAACCTAATAACGGATCTAGATATGGAAGCAAAAGAAACAAGACAATGGTCTCTCAAGGCATATCACACCTCTAAGACCCTAAGATGACCTTCCATGAGGACACGGAACCCAAAGGAATAACCGGAAGTGACAGCTAGAATGAAAAGGTCACTTGGTACCCTATGGTACCAATGGCAACCAAAGGAGCAAGATCTAGTTCAAACTAGACCATGTACGCCATTAAATGGCTCAAGCAAGATCAACAAGGTCAAGTGGAAATGAATGAAACAAGGTTAACCTGTCAAGGCAACAAACCAAACAAGACCCACAAGGTAGCCCCATTTCGGTCGACTGAAATAGAGCTTCGGTCGGCCGAAGTAAGCCAGGGCAAAGGAGAAGAATGAGCCTTCATTTCGGTCGACCGAAATGACAAACCGGTCGACCGGTTTGTGGCTCGAGATGAAAAAGGCTACTGGAATTGGTAAAACACTGTTCAACTAAAACCACAAGAGAATCGGTCGACCGAACCAAGCCATCGGTAGACCGAACTGGGCCAAACATAAAAAATGGCTACTGGAATTGGAGATTTTGAAGTTCAAACAATTTGAACCAAGAATCGGTTGACCGAAACAGGCTATTGGTCAACCGAAACAGGTTAAAAATGAGGAAATGAACCTGCTATGCACCAAAATGAAGAAAAATCCCTAAGTCTTATTTGAATCCCCCATGGCATGATCAAATTGCATTATATGCAAGTGTGTGATGATGTGAACATACACGCAAGTGTAATATAACATTTTAAATATGTTACAATGGCCCATGGCCTTATTACAATTCATTTACAAA